ATTAGTAAAAATAACAAATTTTGGTATACTTTTCAAATTTAGTGACATATAGGTGTATGTTTGCTCCCCATTAAAATGATTTTTTTGGCCAATTTCATTTTGGGGAATTATAAAAAATGTCACTTTTTTTTTTAAATGTATAGAAAATTTGCATGTGCACCTAATTTTATTAAAAAATGTCACTTTTTTTTTATGAAAAATGTCCAACTTACCCTTCATATCCACTTTTAGGAGCATTTAATGCTATGTTCCAATTCAATTAAGTTATGATTTGATTAGTTAAATTTATATATTATAATCATTGCATATATATATATTAGATTCATCATCCATTTTGAGAGGTTAGTTATTACGAATTATTTTTTATTTTTATCGAATAGTTTACTCTTTTTTAAATGATAAAAACAAGATGATCATCAAAGTGAAGAATGCTTTTGAAACTACTATTAATCATGATGTTCCTCATTTTTGAAAAATATTTTTGAAGGGAAAAAAATACCAAAAAGATTTATGCAAATGTTAAGTGGTAGCAACCTTATCAAATCGGCTTTCATCTGCATTTGAATCATACTACACAGTGGTAGCAACCTTACCAAACCCAAGTTGAAGTACGTGTCGGTGATTAAATTGTCGAACATAGAACTATGAAGAATAAGACTACGCATTAACAAATATTCTGACTTCATCCAACAACGTCGAACGATGATCAACCATCGCGTATCTCATATAAATTCATTGTTTCTCTTGTGACCCCAGTAATGTGAAAATCAGTCATACATTATAGATAAATAAGTAATAATAACATCAATCTGATCAAAGTTATCATGGAAGTCAATTGATGAACGCAATTTGTCATAATCATCCTCGTGCACATGGATCTCTGACCACTTCATGTGGGCAGCCTCAAGGCAAAAATGAATTCATCAACCAGGCACAATGAACAAAGAATACGAAACAAACAATCGAAACTGGAACACAGAAAATGAATGAATCAATCAAGCATAAACAACTACGAATCAATCAACAAATTATGAGATTATAGCATTTCATACATGTTAATGCGAAACACACGTGCAATGTTAGAACCAAAGTTCAAATTGTGGAACTGAGCTTAGGTAAAGGAAGGAATTGTCGTTCCCGATAGTTCATCTGTCGAAAACTTCATTTGATCTGTCGATGAGTCCATTTGTCGAGAATTACTGATGCTAACTGTCAGGAACGACAGTTCAATGGTAAGCGATTTAAAAGCTATGCTGTCATTTCATTTCGACATATTGTCATTTCATTCCGACATATTGTCATTTCATTCCGACACAATACACATGTTTTGTACAAGGATATATAAGGTATTTAAATAATTCATAGGGTCAAAAATGTCCTAAATTGACATTTTTGATAGAAAATTTGAAAGGTGACATTTTTGATAATGCATAGCCAAATTTTGACAGCCAATGAAATTTCCTCTTTCATTTTCTGAATTTGTGGGACCACATTGTCGGAAATTATGAGAAAAACACATAAAAGTTGACTTTTGGGAAAATTTGCAGGTCCAAGAATATATGTTCTTAGTTTACCCTTCAAATAAAATGGTGGGAGGTTATTTAAAATTGAAGGAATGGGGGGTTATTTTTGAAAATTGGTTTTAAAAAATGAGGGTGTTTTTGACATTAGAATTTAAAAGTTTTTTGACAATACACTGTGCACTTCCTATTTTTTTAAGAATTAAACGACCGTTGAAAAATGAGAAAGTCCATTAAAAATGAGATTCAAAAGGGGAATGAAAATTCCCATTAAGTAAAAATATTATGAGTCTTATGATTTTGAGAAAAAGTAAGCTCCTGTTTGATGGTCATGTAAAAATGATGTTTTGGATTGTAATTTCTTAGAAGAATGCGTGATTGTGTTTGAATGTATAATTAAAAATGAGTATTAAAAATAAATTATTTTTTTAAAGGAAGTCTAAGCGGGGATTTAAAAATTTTTTTATCATTCGATTTTGGTTTTCGAAAATTGGTGTCCAGTGACATCAAGTAAATGAGTTTAGCCGTGGCACTTCATTACTGCGCCGACAGCTTTCTCTCTTCGCCGTTCGGCTTAGATTGCTCCACACTCTCCAATATCTATCTTCGCTCGTTTGGTACTTAATCTCATTTGTTTCATCTTTGCATCTACACACACTGACTCTGTAAGTATTTCTATGATTTGCTTGATAATTTTTTAATTTTTTGGGGATACACTAATGGTTAATGATCTTGTCATTGGAGCTTAATCCTGATTTGTTGCTTGATCTGTCAGTGCTAAGCAAGGTAATTTATTTTTGTTTTGGTACAAAGTAATTTGGGGAAAATTAATATGTTACCGGTGCTTTTGGCGACTTGTAATCTGATTCATGACTTTTGAGTGAGGGATTAGTTGAAAATTTTACTGAGTTTTTCCGCGATTATAGTAATCAAGCTGTAAAAAGATCGTACTTCTACTACAATCAAGGGCTGCAGTATATTGATGTAATTAAAAGAACAACACAGCAATGAAAGAAGTAATAGATAGCTTTTTGAGATGTCTACTACTCTCTTATTCCACACTCCAACTCACTAATTTTTACCTGACTATTGCTACCGGTTGCCTCTATATTAATAGTTCCTATGTAACTGATTGTCCACCTCAGCCTGCTACGAGAACAGAATTTGTTGCTGCCAATTCTACACAATGCTTCTTGATCCTTCTAGAATAAGTAGGGGTGGGTGTCGGGTGGGTAGGTCCGGGTATTTCAATACATAGAACTACCCATTATATTTCGGGTATTTCGTAACTAGATCCATTCGGTTCCACGTAATTATTGGATCCAAATCCAAACCCAAACCTTCGGCTCTATCCATAATATTTTTTTGAATACATATTTAGGAAATCCAACCATCTAATTAGAGGAATTATCACAAACTATTCATCATGTCATAGATTTAGTAATTGACATTAATGGACTAATCGTAAGAGAAATAAACAGAGACTTAACCGATTAGAAGTTACACAAAAAATTAATAAGACCAACCTTAAAAGAGAATTAAAAACTAGTTAGAATTAAAAAAAACTTTATTAGGAATATCGGACCAACATTAAACAGAGCCTCAAAAGAACATTAATAAGACCATCTTATTATTATAATAATCAGAAGTTCAAAAATTTTAAAACCAACATCATAAGTTAAACAACTAGAAAATGTCATCAAAAGAGCCATAAAATGTCATCATTTGCATCATTGTCAACAATAATAATCGACACGTGCTCTATTCCCCAATCAAGGAAACTATTTTCAACAAGTTTTCCTGTTGTCTCCCTTTATGATTTGGAACAACGGAAAAGCTCAAAATCCTCTTATATAATTTCCAAGTTCTATCAATAAGGTGTGTTGTGATTAGGGGTGTAAGCGGTCCGATTTTATCGATTTTTGACAGATTTTCAAACCAAACCGTTTAAATCGATTTGAGAAAAAGCCAAACCTAAACCAAACCATTTTAAACGGTTTGAAAAAAACTCAAACCCAAACCTAATGGTTTAGTCCGGCTTTAAACCGTCGATTTCGCCTAATATTTTTTTGCCTATCTATTTTTACGCCATTTATTCATTGAATTCAATATATATTTATATCTTACTAGTAATAAATCTAAAATAAGCTAAATATATCTACTATAAATTTAAATACCAACTAAATCAAAGTAAAATCATAATAAACTAAAACATAATTTTTTGTTTGCCATTTTTAGGCTAAAAACAGGGGAGCCCATTAAAGGCTAAAGATAAATATACCTTTTTCTTGGACGATGCTTGGAATTTTCATCAGATTCGATGATTCACCTGGCGAAAAAGAGAGAGACATTGTTTTGGGAACTGGGAAGCACGAGAGGGACGAGAAGCAGAATTGAAAAAAACTATTTTTCGATTTCGTGTTATTCAAGGGGTGTAAGTAATATAGTCCAAGCCAAATATTTCATCTTTTCTATTTTGGAGCTCATGTGGCTTTTGAGGCCTTGGACCCAAGATAAAAATTAAAACTTGACAATAATAATGATAACTAATTAGAATTATTGGGTAATAATAATGAGTTAATTTTTCCAATGGTCACTGAACTTAGGTCCACGTCTTTGATTGGTCATTGGAGTTTAAAATGTCGAGTTTTGATCACTGAACTTAAGTCTATATCTTCGATTGTTCACTGAAATTTAAAATGTCGAGTTTTGACCACTGAACTTCGAAAAATGTTATACATTACTCATTGGACTTTGAAAAATGCTGTACATTGCTCATTGTAAATTCAATATTTTTTAAAATTCAACGGTTATGTTAGTGTACATACGGCATATTCGAAAGTTCAGTGGTCAAATCTCGACATTTTAAACTTCAATGATCGATCTAAGACATAGACCTAAGTTCGGTCAGCAATCGAAGACATTGACTTAAGTTCAATGACCAAAACTCGACATTTTAAACTTCAGTAACCAATCAAAGACATAGACCTAATTTCAGTCACTATTGAAATAATTAACTCTAATAATAATATATATGTAATAGAAAATTAAAAATTGACAAAAACACCCACAAATGACAAAAGTCACAAAACTATTGAATTTTACATATTTGGATGAATTTTCCAAAAAATTTTTTTATATATTTTTCGCCAGTCCGGTTTAGTTTTAAACCGCAATTAAAATTCTCAAAACCAAAAATCATTTCGTTGACGAATCCACTTGGCACCAAATCAACAGTTTCGAAATTGTGGTTTCGATTTAGGTTTGGCAGGTTTTGCTTACAGCCCTAGTTGTGATTACCATGTAATTGATATTCTGATTCAAGTCCAACAATCAGTGGTAAGAACAACCCTTTTCCTATTCTGAATGAGTTTATTTTTTAATGATTCCTTTGTCTCATTGTAAAGATGGAGCACATCCTTAACAATCGTTCTTCAATAATAAATATCAAACTTAGGATTGAATTTTTGCACAAACTCTTTAAAATCCACACCCTCCACAAAGGAAAAAGGGCAATTCATCAATTATAATCATTCTAACTAGATATCTTCTACATTCTTCTTTATTATATACTGATGCTGTAAGATTAAACATGCTACAATTACCATTACCACCATAATTTTTTTGTTGAGATAAGGTCCTTTGTTGGTCACCAAACTGAATAGCCTTATATGTAGGACAACTATCCAAATGCTTCCATATACTAGAAGTTCCACTTTTTGAATTACTTTGAAGGACTTTCCCACAATAATTGCATTTTGATATTTCTCCATCACCTACCCTAGTAAATCTCAACCAAATTGCTGACCTTGTCTTCATTTACTTTTTAGTTCCAAGTGTCTCGTTATATGTCTACAAAAAATAAATTATTTTGTCACAACTTATAACAAATGTAATTTGAAGAGGAAAAAAATAATAAATGCACACCACAAAATTTGTTGTTGAATAGAAAAGAAATAAAAGGCATAACTAAATAAGATGGACTCCAAGAAAAATTGAAAGAAACTAGATTTTAAATAAGTAAAGTAGGGTATTTTATTTTCGGTACTATCCAGAGAACTTAAAAGTACCCATTCCTTACCTATGCAAAGAAGCAACAAAGCCAAGAAAAAATGGTGACAAAAAAAATCAAGTTTTTTGATGTAATCATATCAATATCCAAGAAAAATTCAAATAAAGACTCAGAGATAACATGTTAGAGAAGCATAAGTATGTATTGTAGGAGTTACAAAAATTACCTGTAGTGTCGGTGTAAGAGACGAAGCCATTGTTTGAAGAGAAGAAAATGTAAAAATTGAATTGGGAAAGAAGGGGGACATGGGATTTTAATATCTTTATAGATTTGGTATTGGGCTATGCCTAAATTGCTTTTGGGCAAGATATATGTATTTGGACTTAGGTAACTAAAATGGACCAAAAGCTTTGGATTGGATATTTTCCTTAGGTAACTAAAATGGACCAAAATATTAAATTTTGTAATTTTTTATGCAATCTATTAATTATTAAAAATAAAAAAATTATAAAAAAAATAGGTTCCATCCGGTTACCCATTGTTCTAATTCAAAAACCAAAAACCGACCTAGACCTACTCAGTTCTCAGTTCTCGGTTTCGGTTCTTATATATTTTTTTGGGGAACCGAACTGGAACCTTCGATTTTGGTTCAATTTCGGTTCGAGAGATTTGGTTCCGGTTAAAATGCCCACCCCTAAGAATAAGTATGCTTGAATGAGGGCTTATCATAATAGTTTAAGCATCTATTCGGACTTGCAGAAAAAGAAGCAATAATTTCACATTTGCACTATATATTCCACTTGCAATGGTGCTTCGAGTTGTAAATTGGGATCTAAAGGTAAAATTTGGATGATTGCTGATAAATATGGAAGCAAAAGTATTGCTGCTTATCTGCACATTTCAGGATTCATTCGATGTCAAGGCCTTATTGGTGGGAAGTGGAGTGATGCTTATGATTGGAAAACCATAAAGGTGCAATATTTGTGAAAAAGAAGTGCATTGGCACCTATTATTTTGTTGTGGAATAATTATCCTTTTTCTTATGGCAGGTTAGCAACCCTGCTACTGACGAGGTTATACAAATGTACCATGCATGGGTGGGAAGGAAACAAATGATGCAATTGCTTCTGCATTTGTTTGTGAGTTTATTATGACTTATTTGACTCATATTTTGTTTTCCCTTTTTACAATTTATTTTTATTTTTACGTTTTATTTTTGGGTCCTATTACTACACTTTTTTTTTGGTAACTGAAATTTGATTTAGTAGATCATCATACTTTCAGCGGGTACATTGTCAAAAAAACCTGAATAATTTTTGAAAAATTTCTCTTTTCGTTTCATTGTATGGTGCCCTATTATATATCTATACAATCTTATAGTCTACAAGGAAATTAAATAAATTACAATCTCCAAAAATAGCATATCTAATCTATTCCAAAATTAACTTAAATATATACGGTAACATCCCCCATCAAATTGCTGCTGGGAAGTTAACCAACAACAATTTGCCAACAAGAAATTGATACCGTTGTTGAGTCAATGCTTTGGTGTAGACTTTCGCCATTTGAAGGTCAGAAGAAATGTAGGGAAGGGAGATCACTTGATCCTCCAAAATATCACGAATAAAATGACAATCAACTTTAATGTGCTTGATGCGTTCATGGAAGACAAGACTGTTTGCAATTTGAATGGCAGTAATGTTGTCCGCATGAAGGGGAGTAGAATTAGTTTGAGAAAACCCAAGTTCTTTGAGTAGACCACGTAATAAAATAATTTCAGAACAAGCTGTGGACATGGCATGATATTCAGCTTCAGTAGATGATTTAGAAACACGATCTTGTTTTTTACATTTCGAAGAGATCAACGCATCGCTCAAAAACATACACTAACCCGTAGTTGAGCGATGAGTATTTGGACACCCAGCCCAATCAGCATCACTATAGGCAGAAAGTTGAAAAGAATACTCTCTAGGAAAGAGCAACTCACGAGTAGGTGATCCATGAAGATAACGAACAATGCGGCGAACAACAGCTAGATGAAGATGTCGAGGACTAGACATAAACTGACTAATCGGATGGACATCATAGGAAATATCTGGACAAGTGGTGGTCAAATAGATAAGACTCCCAACTAAGCTGCGATATAGAGTAGGATCATCTAGAATATCCCCTTTATCTTTCCTGTACTTTACATTTACTTCCATTGGAACGTCCACCGAAGAAGAGTCTCCCAACCCAGCTAACACAATAAGATCCTGAGCATACTTATGCTGATTTAAGAAAATACCATTGGCCCTAACGCAAAAAATATATAAGCTGACCCAGGTCTTTCATATGGAAAGTAGCATGTAAAAACTGTTGAAGCTTCGTAATTAAACCTCAATCAGTGCCAATAATGATGATGTCATCCACATAAACCAAAAGAAGCATAATACCCATTGTAGACTTCTGGAAGAAAAGAGTTTGAAGTTAAGAAGTTTGTGATGAAACTTCTCAAATCACGCCCGAGGAGCCTGCTTGAGGCCATACAGAGAACGGCGTAGTCTATAGATATCACGAGATGAAGAGGTAGGCATGCCAGTGGAAAGTGTCATATAAATCTCCTCGTGAAGATTGCCATGAAGAAAGACGTTCTTCACATCCATCTGATGTAGAACCCATGATTGTGAGGCAGTAATAGCTAAGATTGTCCGAACTGTGTTCATTTTTGTACCAGGAGCAAATGTTTCCTCATAATTGACCCCATATTCTTGTCTATTACCTAGAGCTACAAGATGAGCTTTGTATCGATCCAACGACCCGTCAGAGCAAAGTCTCCCAGAAAGAACCCACTTACTCCCAATAGGTTTCACATTCGGAGGACAAGACACAACGTCCCAAGTGTGGTTCTCCTCAAGTGTCTGAAGTTCTGCTTTCATTGCATTTTGCCAACACTCATGTTCCATGACCTATTTGTAGCAAGAGGGAATGGAAATAGTAGATAAAGAAGCAACAAGAGAAGTATGAGATGAGAAGCCATACCGATCAGGTGGTCGTGAAGGACGTATAGACCGACGAAGATTGGTGGGAACCATAGCAGGATCAAGTGTTGGGTCGAGATCTTAAGGGAGCTCATGAGGGCATCGTTCATACACAAGACCAGGTTTATATCATGCCTCAATAGTTGGAGAATCAGGGAAGCTAGGGAGAATAGATAAAGATGTGGATGATAGCTCAGCATGAGAAGAAAAGAAATATTGATTTTTCAAAAAAAACTACATTGCTAGAGATACGAAAATGTTGAGTATGAAGGTCGTAACAAACAAATCCCTTTTGAGAGATAGCATAACCAAGAAACCACACATTTAATAGACTGAGCAGTTAGCTTATGTCGCTCATGGGTAGAAGATGCACAAAACAAACACAACCATATATACGAAGATTAGAATATGAAGGTGAATATCTAAACAACCTAAAGAAAGGAGAAACATGATTTAATGTAGGAGAGGATAGGAGATTGATTAAATGAACCAAAGTAGAAAGTGCTTTACACCAAAATTGAGGAGGCACGAGTGAGTCAAATAAAAGTGTTCTTACCATATCTAGAAGTTAACAATTCTTTCTCTCAGCAACACCGTTTTGCTGCGGTGTCAAAGGACAAAAATGTTGGGAGATGATACCCTTGCTTTGAAGAAAGTCTTGAAATTCGTTGGTTATATATTCACCTCCTGAATTGGATTGCAAGATCTTGATGTCGCTAGAGAATTGAGTTTATTTGAATGGGGTTGCTCGCCTTTTGTAACAAGTAGACCCACGATACGTTCCCTCTTGCTCCGATCTACCCTACACCTAGGATGCTGTCTGGGTTTCAGGCAAACCATAGTCATAGGGATCCTTCCAGTGATTTCTTTCAGTGGTCGCATCTGCGATGAAGAAAGAAGCTTTCCCATGAAGGGTAAGAAAATGCTTAAAGATTGAAAAGACTTCGGCTTTGGCCCTTAAAAAGCACACTCAAGTGAAACGACTAAAATCATCGATGAATGTAACAAAATACTTATAACCTGCATGAGAAATATAGTGGTCAAATCTCGACATTTTAAACTTCAATGATCGATCTAAGACATAGACCTAAGTTCGGTCAGCAATCGAAGACATTGACTTAAGTTCAATGACCAAAACTCGATATTTTAAACTTCAGTAACCAATCAAAGACATAGACCTAATTTCAGTGACTATTGAAATAATTAACTCTAATAATAATATATATGTAATAGAAAATTAAAAATTGACAAAAACACCCACAAATGACAAAAGTCACAAAACTATTGAATTTTACATATTTGGATGAATTTTCCAAAAAATTTTTTTATATATTTTTCGCCAGTCCGGTTTAGTTTTAAACCGCAATTAAAATTCTCAAAACCAAAAATCATTTCGTTGACGAATCCACTTGGCACCAAATCAACAGTTTCGAAATTGTGGTTTCGATTTAGGTTTGGCAGGTTTTGCTTACAGCCCTAGTTGTGATTACCATGTAATTGATATTCTGATTCAAGTCCAACAATCAGTGGTAAGAACAACCCTTTTCCTATTCTGAATGAGTTTATTTTTTAATGATTCCTTTGTCTCATTGTAAAGATGGAGCACATCCTTAACAATCGTTCTTCAATAATAAATATCAAACTTAGGATTGAATTTTTGCACAAACTCTTTAAAATCCACACCCTCCACAAAGGAAAAAGGGCAATTCATCAATTATAATCATTCTAACTAGATATCTTCTACATTCTTCTTTATTATATACTGATGCTGTAAGATTAAACATGCT